TATTTTGAAAAATAAAAAGTATAAATATGTCTTATATAGGTATGGTCCTACACTATATTATTCAAATATAGCATGATAGGTCCACTTTAATTAACTCACCGTTTCAGCACTTGAACATATACATTGAATGAATTGTTTTCCTCATTGGACTGTAAACAAAACGTGTGCAGCACTCAGGACCCCCGAAGAGACTGACCCTGTTTTACTTTCACTGTCTGGTGACAACATGCTGCCAATGGGTACAAAGCTCACTCAAGTCAGATTTGTATAATTCATAAGTTTTTCTAAACTCAAAAATATTTTAAGCTGCTTTAAAAAAAAGAAATGTGGTTGTTGAAAGGAAACGCAATATCTCTAAGGTAATAGATCTCTTCTTTCTCATGTAAATTCCTCTGCTGCAACGAAAAGCACACAAATATCAAGCTTTCTGCTCTAAATGGTTTTGTGCAAATTGATGAATAAGAATAGGTGGTTTGAATCCCACTTCAGCAAACTATACAACGAACATAAAGAGTCTTGCACAAATGCATAAACTGAATGCAATACACTCTGCACTTTGTTAACACACACATTCCTTTGGTAGTGTGTTATAACAAACATTAGTTAATCCTAAACTTTGATCTGGCCCACATACTGTACACACTGTTATTTGTAATCTAGACAATCATTTAAATACAGGCCCCATTTGGCCTGAAGCCAGAATACAATAAGCAACAGTGACAAGATTTGACTGGTGAGAGTGTGGAGAATCGCACGACGAGTGATATTTACATAAAAAGCAGGCCTGCTTTTATTATGCACCGCTGTTATCAATCGGTTTGTTCAGAGAATCGCATGAGACCAAACATGGCAGTTTCAGGGAGCATGCAGATGATAAAAGAGACATTTCCTGTCGAGGGCTCTACTTTCCTTAAAAATGCTTGAGCAGCAACTATTTCCACTTGCCCAGAAACCTATATCATACACTACAAGAAAGAGAAAGCCCCAAAAAGCAGAATAGGGCTCCTTTAAAAAAACAAAACTGTTACTACGCTCTCACAGAGAGATGTTCTCAAATACATTACCCTTCACAATTATTCCTACATGAGCCAGATGAACTGAGAACCAAATAAGACAAAACAAGTCGTTTATTTTTCTGAAAGAAGAGCAGCGTGTAATGGATTACAGGCCCGTCAGGCCACCTAAATGTAATGTCATCATACAAAAAGTCGTATCTCAAATAGTGACAGACGTAAGTCACGTAAATGTCATCGAAGGGCTATTGCATTATAGATGTGGTCACGATTTTCTCCTTCGGATTCCAGCTTCATCTGTATTCTTCAGCCGGAATATGAATCATCCTGGCCACAGAAACACATTCATCTTGTGGCTAACTGTGATATTACCCTCATTCATCATGAAGCGACGGGTAAATCAGCACAGCCGTGACAGCACCTGATAAACTTTCAACCTTTCTACCATGCCGTGGGGAGGCATGTTATGTCTGTCTGACAATCCTGGAGTGTTGCTGGGGTTGAAGTTTTATTAAAACACGCTATGTTTATCATCAGGCCACCATTCAAATCTGTACCCGGACACGAGTGCAGAGACGAGGATTCTATTTTGGGTCTACCTGTAACTCAGCCTTGTATATGACTACTGACATTGTCTTCTCTAATTATTACCCAGGCATTGCGTGCAGAGTTCCACAATTGCCTAAATATTTGCAAATGAAATGTTTTAGTACTGACAGAGGAGGACAGATATTTGTCACCATCTAGCGAGCGCAGTAGGTACTCAACTCAGGAGCGAGAGGAGGTGCTGTGTCCTTTTCAGCCAGAATGACTCCTGTTGGTTGTTGGACAGGAAGAAGTTACAGTCGCATGGAGACTGGAGGCGCTGGGGATTGCAGCTCCTGGTCCAGCAGCCGGAAGAGCATCGCACTTTTGTGGCAGTGCGAGGTTTGTCCCAGGGAGCGGTGGAGCAGGGCCTGCAGGTAGTGGACGTCCCGCAGCCGCTCCTTACAGTTCAGCTTGGAGAAATAGCCTGCTGCCTCATTTAGCGTGTCAACGGCCAAACCCGCCAAGGGAAGATCTGCAAGGAGACAACAAGAAGAGTTTATAAAGAAGGTGCACAGCTACACAGACCTAGGATCAACGCTCTAGCCCACTGCGCCAAGACCGCAGTCCAGACATTGTTCATTGTGGTCATTTGGTTCAAAAGAAAGGGACCCTCAGCAGCAGAGTGCATGCTGCTCTGTTTCTTTGAATGGTAATATCTGTTCTACATTAATGTAATGTCTATGAGATCACCCACTAGCTAGCTCTGTAGTGGGAGTACAACTGGACAATCTGGAGGAGGTGGCAGAGGGGAGGACGAGGAGGAAGCTCGACAGCATCCTAGAGAACCCCTCCCACCCACTTCACGCAGAGCTAGTGAAGATGAGGAGTACGTTCAGCCAGACTCATCCCTCCACAACAACGCACCAAGCGCCTCGGACAGTCCTTTGTGCCTGTAGCCATCAGGCTGCACAATAAGGGGTTAATAATGAAAAAGAAATAAAATTAAATCACTGATCATAAATATACACTGTTTCCACAACCCATGTTAACTTTTTTCACTTGTCACTTTAACTTATTCCGCACTTTATAACTTAGATGATGACCAAATATGTATATATGCTGACAGTTATTTTACTCTCATTTTTATTCATCTCCTATTTTCATAGTCTTTTATTATTATTATCATTATTATTTTGTCCTTGATTTTATTTTATTTATTATTTATTTTAGATTTTATTGATCTGTGTGAATCTTTGCTGTACTGTTTTTTTCACGCGTACCCTGTTGCTGCTTTGTACAACTGAATTTCCCCTCGGGGATTAATAAAGGTTCATCTTGTCTTATCTTATCAGATGTACTGCGAAGTGGTCAGTTACCTGCTTGCCCTTGTCCGTTTGGCTTGAACCCAGCCACAGCCATCTGACAGCGTGCGGTCAGCAGCAGGGCTCTGCCCTTGTCCATGACCGATCCGTGGGCCAGAACAGGCTCGATGGCTTCATGCAGAACACTCAGAGCGTGCTCAGGAACTCCCAACATCAGCTGCAGACAGAAAACAGAGACAATTAGAACGGCACTCAGAGCAAAGACATCTGCCAAGGCCAATGGTGCATTCACATGCTCCTGGGCTGCTCACATCTTTCCAGTTGAAAGGTTATTTCCTGACTGATGTGTCCATGGGCTTTGAGTATTTACTTTGGAACAACATTGAGATTTTATTGCTCAAAACATTTAAAAATCAACTTGATAGCTGTGTTAATGTGAATATTCACATATAGGAACTATTATTTTTTAAATTATGAAATGCAGCACTTATGCCCATTCTTGCCATGTTATTGTAAGTGAAAAATAATTTGTGTATCTTCCCCGTGATTTGGATCCGCTCAAAAATGTAATGTGTTCTTACTTGGCCTATGCCTCACCCTATGAAAACATTTAAATGAAATTGGTTTTAGTTTTTCTGTAATCCTGCTGAAAAAACAGAGCAGTCAAATGTAAGAAGCTTCATCAAGTTTAGTATAATTATATGCTCCTATAAAGCAATTACCTTGATGCTCTAGAAATAAAATAGTGTTGTACCACCTAAAGAAAGCAAGTGTTGTATTTATTTTTATTTTATACACCAGCCGTAATGCAATGCTTTGTAATGCTTTTTAATGCTTTTGTGATTTGTATGTGGGAACATTTTGATGTGTTTCTTGTGAATGACCTGAGTGAAGGCCAGGTGCAGGATGGTCTCTGAGGCCAGGGACTGGAGGTGGTGCTGCCTGGCCAGAGCCAGGGCCTGCAGGAGGAGAGGGAGAGCTGTGGAGAAGCCACACGACTCCCAGTGGAGCTCAGCGGTGGAAAGCATAACTCTGTATGAGACAGAAAAGGGCATGACGCACACAAGAAGAAAATGCAGCTCATACCGAAGCTTGAACGTCATACATTAAATATTTATGGTAGCCCTAAAATAAGTGAGTCAATTCAATTCCATAGATAAAAAGAGAATGTAGGCTAAGTTGAAGTAATTTCACTGTCCTCTACACTCCAGGACACATCAGAATGGATAAAGTGTCTACCTGATGACCACCTCTGTGCATTTAGTCCTCTCACAGTGCACCTGCAGCCGCTGCAAGACGCTGTACGCCTCAGTGCTGCGGTTCAGAGCCTTCAAAACTTTAGCTTTCCTGTCAGAAAACACATTGTTACAGCTCCGACACAAAATACACACGTTAGCGACAGCCATTGTTAGAATAATGCGTAAGGCTGTTACCTGTAGAGACCTTCTGTTTTGTTTAAGGCAGAGATGGCTGTGACTAGTGGCTCTGCCAAATGGTATTTCCCTTCATTCATGTGTCTGTCAAACTGGATTTTCAGATCACACAGCATCCAGAGCTGAATTAAAGATTGAGGTAAAAATAACAAAAATATCATTATTTAGTACATTTCTTATCATCGATTATGCAAGCATTGAAGGATAAAGCAATGTCTCACACATGCCTTAAGACCTAAAGAATGAAATCTGACTTTTGACACCTGTTTTAAAATACACACATTATAACGCTGTAAAATAGCGGTAACTGTCATCGTTACATCTTAAGCTTCGGACTTATGGAGATTCCTGTTATTTAGTGTGCTTTAAGCTTTTTTAAATCACATATTAAAATATAGTACATTAAATCATTATATTCATTTTAATATAAATGTTAATAGTAGACAGTTAGCAGGGATGCAAACACACGTATGGTGAAAAAAGAGAACTATTCGAAGCAGAAAAAAAACAGCGTAATATACCATCTGACAAAGGCCTGTGCTATAATGCTTCAATTAACTGGCTATTCTTTATAATATACTCAGATCAATAGAGACAGAGATGTTAAGTTATAAATCAAGGGTTTTTATTATTATTTACAGCAGGGGTGGGGAACCTTTTTCCTTTCAAATTTTACAACATCCTCCGAGGGCCGTACAAATTATTGAACTCAACCTCTGCTTAAAAAAACTAAAATCACAGCCAATTCATTTGGCCTTTCTTTCATGTTGTGCAAAGAAAAAGCAANCACATGAAGATGGTTGTATGACCTTAGAGCACGTGTCAAACTCAAGGCCCGGGGGCCAAATCAGGCCCTTGGTGGATTTAATTTCGGCCCGCAGGATAATTTTTAATTTCTATTAGATCTG